TAGATACTTCTATATCAGCTAACATCAGTAGTGGAAAAAATGGGGAATGCTTATTAAGCACATTATTAAAAAATAAAAGTCAAGTCATGGTGGGGGGAGGGCTTGGATACTGGTGAGAGTACTTTTATTTTGAAAAGCATTAGGAACTGAGCAGGGAAGGACTAGAGACAAAGGTGTGACAGAAAGACTCATCCTGTACGTAGAGGTGGGACAAAGAAAAGGGATGGTGGCTATTGTTGTCATAGTAACACAGGTCAGGGAGGGAGGCCTGGGTCAGGTCACACATCAGAGGCAGATGGCTTCCGTCAGATTTAAAAGTTAAACTGGTCAAGACTGCATCTGAGATGCAAAACATGTAAGGAATTGTATGTGTTTAAGAGTCACATGATTTTCCAAGGCCAACTGCTGTTGTAACTCAATTCTGAATCATTAAATCCTGTCAAATTCTTGTCTCTGTTCATAAGAAAACTACAGCTCAGTAGGTAAAGCGGTTTGTCCTGAGTCACACCAATAACTGTTGGCCACATGTTTTGGGTACCTGCTCCCTTTTGAGAACAATTTCCATGGATTATTGTTGCTATTTCATCAAGAAATTCTCTTGGCTCAAATACCCCTCCCTTGGTACAATAGGTCACTTGGTAATCAGTTTCTCCACTATCCTGTGGCTCTGAGCCCTGAACAAAGTTTCCATTTCTGAATCTGGGAAGTTAAGTAGGAATGATTTACTAGTCTCACAGAGTTGTGATCGACTAGAGGGTTAAATGATGCAATCCGTTTATTTTTAGAGTTGATATCTCGATATGTAGCCAAGACTAACTTTGAACTCATGATCTTCATGACTGTTTTCTGAACATTGGAATCACAGGCTTGAGCTGCGGTGCCTAGACGGCATCACCCTCACAGAGCATAGCACAGACCTGGGTATGCTCCCTGCCTTGTGCCTAGGGACTGTGGTCCCCATTACCATCTGCAATTATTCAAAGTCCTATCAGCATGGTTCACCAGACTGTAGGAAAATCTGATTAGCTGGAATTTAAAGAATCCCTGGTTACTGTCTTGGTTCCAACCATCTCCACCATTAGCTGGATGTGAGATAATTAGCCCTATGGTTTAGTGGCTTCATCTGAAAATCCAAGATGGCCACGTGTATGGGGTAGGTGAGAGAAAATGGTAAGGTAGAGCTGGGTGAAGTTTACCAAAGCCAATCATTTCCAAAAAAAAATCCCACAATGACCCTGTTGGAAGTGCCTTGCCATCCCTGTGGTAGTCCATTGAACTGTCAGACAACCTAGATATGACCATTATATGAACAGGTGTTGAACTCTACAGGAGGCCCGTTTCCTCACCCCTAATCAAACAGGGTTATCCAGGACCGCTGATGGGATTCTAGGAGAAGAGCTAGTCTTTGGGTACAGGCTGCCTCTCAGATTCAAGAGAACAGGCTGGGTGTTTACTGCATCTTTTGTGGTGCACAGTCACTCCGCAAAGCATCATCACTATTGGTAGCTGAGAAGCCAGACATGGCATGGTCCATGTACTGCTGAGAATTGCTATGACTTATTCCCGGAAGGTGACATCAGCCTGCGCTTTCCTTTCTTCTCCCTCTTGTACCTTCGTAGACTGGAAGACGGAGTCTGGGGTTGACGAGGAAGTTGCTCAGTATGACGGGTATAATCCTGGGAATTAGGCCACATTTCCCAGCTGTTGGTTTCGTGATAGACCAGCTCACACAAGTAGGTGACTAAAAGTAGAGTGTCCAATACTTGAATTCATTAAGAATTCATTAGGAATTGATTAACTAGGAATGACAGCCAATAGTTTTCCTCCTCTCTCTGTGCCTTTGACTTTTACTCCAGGAATGTTAGAAGAATGATGTATGTTTAGGGGCACTACAACTGAGGGCACTCGATACCACACATGGCCTTGTTTGTGGGAGGAAGCTCCGGGTCTCAACTACATCAGTGTGGGTATTCCCCCCCCACACACACACCATTAGCTAACTTACAAAGCACTGCTGATTTCCTCATAGGTGAGAACTCCTATGATCTGGGGGCAGACATGTTAATGAGACCAGTGGCAAGGCTAGGAGAAGTCTCAAGCTTCTTCCCTGATGAAGCAGGAACCTGAATACCTGAAGGGCTCCCCAGCTGGCACCCTGCTCCCTTTGACCAAGCCGAGCATTCTCGTTTTCAATTATTTAGAATACCTCTTTCCTTCCCGAGTGTGACTTTCCTGTCTTCCAGACAGTGTCTCATCTTTGCAGTATAGCTGACAATTGTCCCTCATTCCAGATGATATTTGTAAATTGGAGTCCTATCAGTGTGTCTTGACACACACACACACACACTCACACTCAAATGAGTCAAACAGTGTGTTGTTGTTCTTCTCCAAATGTCTCAACAGAATCAAGAGGATAAACTTTATCAAGAACAATCTCAAAGGAGGCTAGAAGTAGAGAGACATGAAACTGTATTGGCCACAGTCTATATTGGCGTATCAGATATGACCATTTAGGGACTTTATTACCAAAGGATACTCCCTCAGGAGGCAAATTAATCTTCTCAGGCCCCTGCACAGAACATTATATACTGGTTGGCACATTTGGGCCAACTCAAACACAAAAGTCAAACACAAACGAACAAAACACGATTTACTGAAGCATTTGGAAAGTAAAGATCAAGAGTTTCCTGTGGTCTCCCCTGTGCCTGAGTCCCTCCCTAGGTGTCAGGGGCTAAGGAAGTCTAACTGTTTTCAGACCCTTGATTAATCGCCTCATTGTGGTGCCAACCAGTATATAAGGCCCTGTGCCGGGGCCTGAGAAGATTAATTTGCCTCCTGAGGGAGTATCCTTTGGAGATATAGGATGGGCTGATTCACCTTAGAGATAGTTGCTATCAATAGACTTCATCAGCCGACCTACCCCTGCATCAAAAATGTACATAAAGGCTAAATGATATATCACTGTGACTTCCCTGCACCAGATATATCTGGTCTACTGCGTCTGTCCTCAGAACTGAAATGGCAAAGCATTGTCCTAAAATAACTGAGCTGAAGAATTTAAAAAATGCATCAATCGCCAGATGTGCAAACCAAAATGTTTCCCAAAACCTTGTGTTTCCCTCTGTCTCACTGGGAAAGGGGAAATGGCAGTTGGCTCTCGGTGATTGACATAACAGTTCTTCCTGACGTGTGCTTCTTGGCCCTCATCATGTGGCATCCTGACCCTGATTCTCTGGTGTTCTCTGCAGCTCTCTCCTGGCTGCCCTCTGCCCTTCATGAACCACTGGGATGATAACCGTTGCCAGCCATGTTCACTGTGCCTTTGTGCTTTCAATCCTTTCCTACCCTGCTTTACCCTATCATTTTTTTCAGAGTCAGAATCTCAGGAGCCTCTTCCTCCTGGCTTTTAATCTCATTTGTATCTCAGGAAATTCTGAAAGAGTTAAGGGAGAAAATACAATGACCCATACTTTGTAGATGAAACACTGGGATCGATAAGAGATTTAGTCAAGGACATGGGTCACAGTAAAGACCCTAGACCATCATCCAAATCTCCCATCTCAACCTGTGGCTCTTTTCACAGGTACACATGAGCATAGAATACCACAGGGCGAGGGCTGGGAAGGATTCAGTGGGGAAAATGCCTGCTGTATTACCATGTTGTTCAGGACCCCCACATTAAAGCTAGCACCTACATTAAAGCTATTCTATAATCTCAACACTCATAGACAGGCAGGTTCTTCAGCTTGATGACCAGCCCGCCAGCCGAATCAGTGGATAAGCTCCAGGTTCACTGAAAGACCTGCCTCATAAAATAATGTGGAGAGTGCACACACACACACACACACACACACAAAGTCAGAAAAGAAAGGATTTATACCAAGCCTTTTTTGTTGCTATTGTTTTTGGTTTTGTTTTTATATGTACTTGTTGGGATTATTGTTCTGATTTTCAAATAAAACAATGGTTAATTCGTTACAAGAAGGCTTCCTTTTGCATCTCCAGCATTATACAGAGAGAGTTAAAAAAAATGTCTAGCGGAATACTTTATGCCATTAATACCATATATGTTTTGTAGCATAATAGAATTTTATAAAATAAAACTGGTATTTTTATCGCTAAATACTAACAAGTTCTAGACTATCAATACAGTCAAAGGGTCAGTTGAATGGTTTTATTTTAATAGAATTAAAATAAAAAATGAAAGTTAAGAGCGAATGGGGCAGACTTGAAAATAACCAAAGTGCACTGAATATACCAAAAGCGAGGCGATTTCTCTGACTACTTTTGTGGTACAGTCTGTGTAGTGCATCACGGGATCTCTCTGAGCATATGTATGTGTGTGGGGTGTGCATATGCCATGCTGCATGCATGGAAGCTAGAGGACTACCTCCAATGTCCAGCCTTCACCTGTTCGAGGCACGGTCTCTTTAATGTTCGCTGCTGTGTACACCAGGCTGGCTGGCCAGGAGCTTTCGGAGGCTCTGTGCATTTCATTTCAGATCTGTTCATAGCAGCACAGGATTATAGATGGTGCTGCCTTGCCCGGTTTTCCGTGGGTGCTGAGGATGCAAACTCCCCACTCTTCTGTTTGTGCATCAAGGATTGTCCACACTATGCTGTCTCTCAGGCCTTATAGCATCTCTTAAACTGTCCATCTCTTTTTCTTGCTTTCCTTCTTTAGCCTCATTTCCCCTCTCTTTCCTTCACCCCACTCTTCATCATGTCTATAGGACCTGTACCCACAACCCTGCTACCTTTGTATTCCTCACGTTAACATCTCAAAACACCCACCTCCCCTCATTCTCTGCGACATGTTCGTCTCCCCAGGATAGACAGTGCTTCTTTCTCAGTTTGACCCCCTCCGTGCCCTCCCCTTCCCTTCCCCCTCTATTGCAATGGTCCTTGATTGATGTGACTTTCAAGACAGGGGGTTGGCAGTTCTTTCCTCCTTCCCTAAATCAATCGCTGGCTCTCTAAAGCATCCTCCTTTCTTTCAGGCAAAGCCAGTCAAACCCGAAGAAATGAAATCGCCAAGGACAATCACGTTCTACTTCGTACTTACTGTGATTTATTCTTCAGAAGCTACGTTGAGCAGTCCAGCAGAGACCTTTGTTCATCCTTCGGTGAGTAAAGCCAAATCTTCAGTCATTTTCTCTTCCTTGCTATTTGATTTCCTGGAAAGGTCACAGTCAGAAACCAGTTCTTTCAAGCAGTGGGGTAGGAAGAGATTTTGAGACAGTGTTGCAAATGTAACTATGCTACAGGAATGTAACTGTCATAGTTGGATTAACCGGGCTACAATTTTCCACAATATGAAATCAGTAGTATCGGGAGATCATCCAAGTGAGCTTCCCTCACTAGACTACCATTACCACATCCAAGCAGGCTGATGGGAGGGAGGCAGCCAAGGAGAGTTCTAACTGCCGATCAACCCAAAATTGTAAGTTTACTTAAAACAGATATAGGAACGATGTAAGTCGATCACAAGTTTCTTCATTGTAAACGTAGACGGCGACATCATGTTGGCATCACTGAAAGGCTGGAGACACCTGACTGGCTGAGGCTTCACACTGAAGCTGGACGTGATTGAACAGCACAGTTCCAAAGCCATTAGTCTCTGTGTGCGCATCACAGTCAAAGGTTAACAACCCCAAAGGACCATGGGTAGTGTCTAAGACTCTTCCTCAGGAATAATGAAAGTCGTCTGTCTTTGGGAAGTTGGGCAGCATTCAGCTAAGTGGGGGAGGTGATGGGTATACTGTGAGATTCTTTATCCTGCTTATCCGTACACTAGAGGGAAGGTTCACTGCAGGCTGGCAGATCAGGCATGTAATTCTGCATCTTAGTCTTTTCACCTACAGAATCATGCTAATAGTAGTAGCAATTTCCTATGATTCTTATGAGAATTAAATCGGTTTATAGTTGTAACAGTCATCAGAAGAAAAGCTCACGTCTCAGATTTTTTTTTCTCTTGCATTGAACTTAATCTGAGAAGACTGGACGGTGATTCGGGGAGTATAACTTATTCACATTTAGTATGTTTGAAGTTCTTGGACTTTCAGTGTTCTATTTTATCACTGTGTTTGTTGGCTGTCTTGACAACATGACAAATGTCTGATGTAAACAACTCAAAGACAAAAGCTTTGGTTTTGACTCATGGTTTTAGAGTCCTTAGTCTGTGGAGGGGTGACATGGCAGACCACAAAGTTTGTGTTCACAGTAGCTGTGACACAGAGTAAAGGAAATGCTGCTATCTGGCGGCTTTCCTTCTCTCCCCTTTAATTTTTTCTGCTCCAGCCCCCTGCACCCCCTAGGATAAGGGTGAAGCCAACACCACCAAGGTGGTGAGCCTGTTCTCAGGTAATCCTCTCTGGAAATGCCTCTATCGACATGCCCAGAGCTGTGCCTCAACTTCCCAGGTGATCGATCCTTGATCCACTCACTACCTCCAAGATTGTATGAGCCTTCTTCCTTTCCCCATTTTACAGTCTATTTTTTCTTTGTCCTTTTCATTTTCCACTCTCATGACTGGAAGAATGTGCATGATATGTCTCTTCTTCTAAGCTCTGGCTTGTGGGGTACAACCTAGACAGGAGAATGAACCAGCCTACTCATTAGATTACGGAGGAAACATTTGCACCTGTACCATAGTGGTTATTCAGAAGATGTGGTGTGATTTCTACATTGAGGTTACTTTATCCTCTCTTCCAGAAGTGACTCTAGCGATCTTACCCACACAACAAGCTGAATATGTCTAACCTTGGCATCATACCTCAATTGATGTCTGGCTCTGACCCACACAAGTTTCAGAGTCTTCATTCATTTTTCTTATATCTCTGAACCTATGTCCTCTTGCATCCCTTCTCTGGCTAATTGTAAGGATCATACATATGTGCTTTCACCAAGGGCCTCTGAATCGGTCCTTATAGTTGATGTATGTTGCTAGCCATCTGTGAAGAATCTTGGTAAGATAATTATCCAACTTGGAAGCAAAAGATTAGCTTGGCATTCTAGGCTAACAAAAGGAGTGAGTGGAGGGCTCTGGTGATGGGGGCTGAGATGTGTTGCAGCAAGAGTCCCTGGTGAGCATCTTCTTTGCCATCTGTCCCTTTAGATTTGCACATCCACCTTTCAAGCTGGGGAGATGGCTCAGTTACTGGACCATTCTTACTGTGCAAGAAAAAGGACCCAAGTCTGATTCTCAGCATCCCCATATAAAAGCCAGATGTACTAGTGTATACTCATCATCCCACACAGGAGGATGAAGAAAGCAGGATCCCTGGTGCTCAATGCCAGCTGGCCTAGCCAAATTTGTGAGCTCTAGTTTATAAAAAGAGACCCTGTATCAAAAACCAAGGTGGAGAATAACTGAGGAAGGCATCTAAAGTTAGTCTCTGGCTGCCACATATGCATAGACACACACATGAAACACACACAACACACACACATGCACTCACACACAAACACACAACACTTATTTCTAATTGATTACCCTTCCCAACTCCAGTCCATCCACTTCCACTAAAATTATTTAGAAAGCCATCTTTCGTGAAAAGTGGGGCTCTTCCTGGAATTGGTGACCTGTGTCTTCCGGCTGAAGTGCTGCCATCAGGAAACCGCCAGCAGACAGAGTTGTGGCGCAGAGCCTCATCTGGAGAACTTTGTATAAAGTGTGTAGACAGATTCAAGTGAGCTGTTACGTCTAGTCTGAAAACATTGCAGAGCTTTGTGGTGGGAATTCATTTCCTCTTCTTAGCTATTGTAGCCAGAGAGCACAATTTAGTAGAAAAAGAAAGTGCCAGAGTCTCACAGTTACCCAGGCTAGAACCTCCCGAGGACTCAGGATGGCAAGGCTAGTCCCTGGGAACCTAGAGCAGCGGGACACAAGAGCACACACCATTGCCATGGACCACATTAGGCATATTATACATCTCTGCATGGGTTATTGTTTAGAATGGAGAAATCAGAGCTTAAAAGAAATGGATGGCTCTTCCAGCTAATACTAGTAGGGCGCAGTGAGCGTCAGCCTACTAGTGACTGTAGCCTCTGCCTACTCAAATCAAGGTTCTAGAACCTGATAGCCTACTTTTGGGGAGTATCATACAGTAGAGAGGTGGAGGAAACAGGATGTGAGAGCTATACTTTGCAAAGATGAGTCCAGAAAGCTCCAGATAGTTACTATAAAGCATCAATTCTCAACCTGTAGTTTGCCACCCATTTGGGGACCTGATCTACCCTTTCACAGGGGTCGGCTGATACCACTGGAAAACACAGATATTTATATTATGATCCATAATAATAGGAAAATTACAGTTATGAAGTAGCAAGGAAATAATTTTATGGTTGGGGGGGGCTGTCACCACAACATGAGGAACTGTACTCAAGGGTCACAGCACTAGGAAGGTTGAGAGCCAGTGCTATCAAGATTTGAGAAGGTTGTGACTCCCACAAGTCACCTTCACACATGGGGGGCACTGGTCACCAAGGCTCGCAACCTGTCGTTGAGCTTAGTCAGACTGTGGGAGGGAAAGGAAAAATTCTGTCTTCACACAGCCTTGAGATACGCTGCATTAGAAGTGAAATGTACTTTAATTTTTAACACACAGCCTCTGTCTGTGTCCCTCAAACACACCTCAGAACACAGGCGGCTAGCCCCTCCGTGGCCTCCATGGAGGATGGAAACAGGACTGCAGGGCCAGAATCTTCCTTCTACCTGGGCACAGGGCCAAGCCACAGGCAAGGGAAGCTGAGAGGAACCACCCTATGCATCAACTATGTGACTTCAGTTCCTGTATCCTTACATTCCTCTGGGACAACTCACTGCAGAGGAAGCAGCAATTGGGCTTTTGAGATTCCAGTCACCATCCATCATGTCTTTAGTTCATCAAGAGCGTTTGTGAACTCTCATGTACACAGAATGTTCCCTGCCCTTCCTCACTTCACATACATTTTAACTCTCTGTCCCCCAGTGTCTCTTAAGGACTTCAAGGAGAGGAACACACAAAGCAGCTGGCAATTTCCCAAGATTATAGCTTAGGATGGAGACGGAGACTAGCTAGAGAAACTGTTAATTGAAAAAGGAGTAAGGGAGTTGGGTATGGTGGTGTATACCTTTATTCCCATCACTCAGGAGGCAGAGGCAGGTAGATCTCTGTGTGTAAGGCTAGCCTGGTCTGCAGAGTAAATTCCAAGACATCCAGGGCTACACAGAGAAATCTTTAAAAAAAAAAAAAAGCTTAGTATCAGTAGAGCCCTTATTTCTCTCTCTCTCTCTCTCTCTCTCTCTCTCTCTCTCT